AGAAGACTAAGATCTGGTGGATTCTCATTTCCCTAAACTTCTGATCATTGACTTGAGAGCATTACCAGTATCCCTCATGATCAGTATTCAAACAAATGCTGCATGACAAGTTCATTGATTCAGCAGTACAAGAAGTGTACAAGCAGAAGATCAAGGAGTACAAGATGGGTGATAAGGTGGCTATAGACTACTTTGATGAGCTGGAATGCCTTGTGAAGCTCACTGGTATTTGAGATAATATAGCAAATGATGGACGAATAGTTGAGGCCCTCAAAAAAGGAGTCCTCTCTTCTTACATCATGATGATCTCTGTCATCAGCATCAAATCCTTGATGCTGGTTGGGTATGATGAGTGGAAAGAAAGGATCATCAAGATGTACAAGGAGTGACAAAGGCAGAAAGTGGAATCATCAACCCTTTAAGATTACTCTAAGAAGCCAACCTCACCAACCCTGAACAAATTGTCAGAGACAACTGCCAGAAAATCATCAGGACCCTTGACAGCCTCTGCCTATGGCATGCAGAAGACCAGGACAGGAAAAACCTACACAGGGGCAAGAAAATCCATGGACATTGATTGGATAAAGAAGAAAGGAAAATGTTTCAATTGTGGCCAAAAGGGCCATATAGCAAAAGATTGTCTGAAGAAGAAAAAGATGCATGAAGATATTCAGATGCAGATTGCTGAGTTACAGAAGAAAGAAAAAGAACTCAGCAAAGAGACCAAAGAAGAGAAGGTAAAAGATGAGGCTGACCAGTGAGCAATTCCACTGGGTCAGCCAAGAACTTTCATGATGTGCAACTAATAGCCACTAGCCAGACTAATAGTATTTCTATAGCTACTTCCATGTCTACCTCATTTACACATTCAAATGTACCCTGGTTATTCAACTCATGCACCAAAGAATCACCAAAAGAAAAAACTCAAATGCTTTCAGGCTGAACAGAGGCAGAGAGCCCCACTACTTGGCTCAGGCCATTTGACACTGAATGGACCTGGAGGGCCATCAAGGATGCTAAAGACAAAACTGCAGTAAAAGCTGTACTTAAAAATTGGGTCTATCAAACTTGAGCTAAAGAAGTAATTGATGAAATGGTGGAAGGAATGAAGAAGGCTGAATAGTGCCAAGCCTTGGAGTGGCTTGATGAACTTCAAGAACTACAAAAGTTCATTTGGTGATCTAAAACCCCAGGATGAGACCTGATCACTAAAGCCCAGATCAAGACACTTATGTCTTGATCAACCTATACTGTGACTGCTCTAATCAATAGTGGTTGCACTGGAAGCTCAATTAATCATGCTTTCATCAATAAGCACAAGCTCCCAACCTGAGCAACAGTGGCTCTAATTCTAGTTTATAATGCTGATAGAACAAAAAACCAGGCCAGCTCAATTACTGAATTTGTTGAGCTCAGGCTCACAATTGGTGATTATTCCAAACAAATCGACCTGGCTATTACAGATCTCAGAACTAAGAAAATCTTTCTTGGTCATGACTGGCTAATATGTCATAATCTATTAATCAACTGGAAAACTGGAAGGATTATGTTCGCAAGATGCTGATGCCAAAAGATCCCATTCAAGTTGCCCAATGAGAATCCAGAAGATTGATGGAATGAGGAAATGGAGAATGGAGAAACTATTCTTGCTATTGATCTTCAGTGTGAGATACATATCTGAGCAGTCCATCATGCCAATAACCTGGCCACCAAGGCCAATGAACATAAGGAGGAAAAACCTTTGAAGAAATGGTGCCTGAATAGGTATGTGACTTCAAGGATCTGTTCAAGAAGAAGAGTTTTAATGAACTGCCAAAGCCAAAGCTATGGGATCATGCAATCGAGCTAATCCTGAATGCAAACACCAACTTGAATTGTAAGACTTATCCTCTTAGCAATAATAAACAACAAGAACTCGACAAGTTCCTGGATGAGAACTTGTCCAGCAGATGAATCCAACTGTTGAAATCTCTGATGGCTTTCTCATTTTTCTTTGTTAAAAAGAAAGACAGTAAGCTTTGACCAGTTCAGGATTATCGAAAGCTTAATGAATTGACCATCAAAAATTGATACCCCCTGCTGCTAATCTCAGAGCTGATGGATAAACTTTGGGATGCTAAATATTACACCAAACTCAAACTTGACATTCGGTGAGAGTATAACAACATTTGTATCAAGGAGGGGGATAAATAGAAAGCAGCCTTTCAGACAAACTGAGGGTTATTTGACTCCACTGTCATGTTCTTTGAGCTCACCAACTCCCTAGCAACTTTCCAATGGATGATGAATGACATCTTCAAAGACCTCATCTCTATTAGAAAGGTCATCATTTATCTTGACAATATCTTAATCATGTCAAAAATGAAGGAGGAGCACAGAAGACTGGTATGGCAAGTGCTGGCCCTCATGAAGAAGCACAAACTGTTCCTCAAAGTGGAGAAATGCAAGTTCAAGGTGCTCAAAACTGAATACCTTGGAATCATCATCAGCGAAGGGAGTATTAGGATGGATCCCATCAAGGTAGCAGAGGTAATAGAATGGCTAAAGCTGATCAAGAAGAAGGAGCTACAGTTATTTCTCAGATTTACAAATTTCTATCAATGCTTCATCCAGGATTACAGCAAGATCATCCAGCCAATGACTCAATTAACCAGCAATGCCCCCTGGACTTAAAGACCCTCCCAACAGACTGTCTTCAATGATCTCAAATGATGGCTCATCAAAGACATCATCTTTATCATCTCTATGCAGAAGGAGAAATTCCAAGTTGAGGCTGACTCTAATGAAGATGCTATAGAAGCCATACTTTTCCAGGAACAGGATGAAAAATGGTGTCCTGTTGCATTCCTATTCAAGATGCTCATGGTCACTGAGTGAAACTACAAAATTTATGACAAGAAACTTCTTGCTATTATGCTTGCCTTAGAGAAATGGCAGCACTACCTCATCAGGGCTGTAAAAACTTTTGAGATCTGGACTGATCATCAAAACCTTTGATACTTCTGGCAACTGCAAAAACTAAACCATTGACAAGCCAGATGGATAACAAAACTCAGCCAGTATCAATTCACACTCTATCACAAAGCAGAAACAGCAAACAAGAAGGCCAATCTTCTCAGCTGATAAGCAGATCATGACTAAGGAGAGAGTGACAATGAGAGAGTAATGTTATTACAGCTCGAACACTTCAGAGCTATGATAATGCCAACAGAGGAGGAGATCCATAAGCAGATTAAGAGTACCACCTATGACAGCTACAAGTGGAACCAACAGATAGTCCCATCACTAAATCATGAATGAGGAATAATGAAGGAAGGAGGTCCAATCTGTTATGATAGATGGATCTATATTCCCCAAGATCAGGGACTCTGTGGTGAGATCATCACCACCTGTCATGATCATGCTACTGTCAGGCACTCTGGCATCACTAAGACCAAGAAATTGGTATTACAGGAATACTGATGGCCCAAAATAGGCAATGACATCACCACTTATGTCAAGGCATGTGAGGTCTGCCAACAAGGCAAATCATTGACACAGGCCTAAGCTGCTCTGCTCTACTCAAATGAGATCCCATTGTCACTATAAACCCATATCTCTATTGATATGATTACCAGGTTACCTGATTGCAATGGCTATGATGCCATCCTCATCATAGTTGATCAGTTCTCAAAAGCAATTATTCCCATTGCCTGCTCAACAGAACTGACTTCCAAGAGATGGACAAAGATTTTGTGTGATGAGGTATATACCAAGTATAGGATGCCTCAAGTGGTTATCTCCAATTGAGGACTCCAATTTGTGTCCAAATTCCTGGATGACCTCTATTGACTCCTAAACATCAGATGTAATGCATCCACCACATACCACCCTCAAATCAATAGACAGATGGAATGTGCAAATCAAAAAGTAGAAAAATACCTCTGTTTGTTTGTCAATTATTGGCAAGATGACTGGATGGAATGGCTGGCTCTCACCACCTTCCAACATAACAACTGGATCCACTCAGCAATGAGAAAGACACTATTCTTTGTCAATCATGGCTGACACCCAAATGTCACCCAAACTGAACAACATCAAACAATGACTCCCATATCCACAGACTTTGCCACCACCATAGCAAAGGTTCACTCAGAGACTAAAGCAGCCCTCAAATAGGCTGTTATGACTATAAAACAGCAGTATGACAAGCACCATCATACTGCACATATATACTCCATCAATGACAAGATCTGGCTTGACATAACCAACCTTCACCTCCTATGCCCTAAGTGCAAACTTGCTGATAAGCAAATCAGCCCTTTCCTGATCTTATCTAAAATTGGTTCCTCCACCTACAAACTCTGACTTCTCCCATCATGGAAAGTATATGATGTCTTCAATGAGTCATTACTAACACTATATATTGCTCTGGTGTTCCTCAATCAGGAATGCCCTCCTCCTCCACCTCTGAACTTGATTGACAACAAAGAACATTATAAAGTCAATCAGATCTTAAACTATAAACTGCAAAAAGTCAGAGCTAAAGATAGCAGAACAACAATGACAATCAATTATTTGGTCAGTTGGAAGGGCTATAGCCCTAAATCTAACCAATGGGTGAATGAGCATCTGATGAATGCTGATGAGGCCATACATGACTATGAACTATCTCTAAATTGAGCCATCAGGATGATGGTCTTAAGGAGGGGGTAATGTTATGATTTTTCCTTTTTTCCTTGACTTAACCCCTATTTATGCTTAGTCAGGGCACTAGAATGAGTGCTTAAGACTGTGGGACAAAGCTTGGTCATCACAACTGGCCAAGTCTGTCATTGTCTTTCAATGCAACAGCATTGCCTGATGATGCACAATCAACCTTTTATGTATGGTAACAACACCCTAGGACAATGAGCACAATGGACCCAGAAACACATAATTAGTTGTAGTATTATTAGCAGACTTTGTACAGTATTTAAGACCACTTGCTCTTGCTGGTAAATCTCCAGCTTCAAGCTAAAGTTTATTTTCACACCACTTTCTCTTGAGCCAATCTTAAGACCTTGATGCATCATGACTATTATTCACATCAGTGGACTCTGATGCTTAACCCAAAGTGTGAGGTTGTGTCAGTTTATCATGTGTTTATAGTCACATGCAACTTGGGTCTAACAGAGGGCATCAACTTCACTGCTTCCATTACTGTGATGCAATTTCTGATTCTGTCTATATTTCAACTCATCTAGTAATAGATTATGGGTTTGATATCCAGGTATATAAGACTCCCTCAAAATGATGGACTTTGAACACAACCACCTCTCCAGCATGTTCTTCCTGCTTTATGCTCTCATCATAAGAGGGCTGGCAAACTTGCTTTTAGGACCCTCAGACAGTATGAACTCTGTTCTCATTGCATCTATTATCAACATAACAACTTTTTACAGATAAGCAGTTCTGTTGGCATTATATTTTCTCACATCAGTAAGTGTGAACTGGCATCAATCTCCAACAAGCACACTGTCATTTTCTGCTCACTCTTTGGAATTTAGCAAGGTATGTGTATGACCTTCATTTCCATCTTCTCTTATTGACTCTGTTAGAAAGCAAGGCACTTGCTTCTCTTAGCCTATTCTATGTTAGTTCCAATGGCACAAGTGACAGTCTGTATTGGGTCCTACTTTGACTCTACTTCTACACTGACAGTCATTAGTGTCTTGCTTCTGAATTGCCCTCTACTGGCACATAAACCACTGAGACTTCTTCACAGTACTTTAGCTGACCTTTTTCTTAACATATTAACTCTGAAATGCTGAGAAGTGGCATTAAATGAATCAACAGTATATAGGATGCACACCACCAAGTCACTAATACCAAATCACAATGTAGTTCAAGAGAGGAATGGTAACACCTAGATTCTCAGTATATAGAGAATGTAATATTAATAGAGTGCAATAGAATGTAATTCAAGGATATATATTGCAGTTTACTTGGATAAAATTGTCTGTGTCACTGAATACAACAAAATCTATCTCAAACAGTCTGCCTGGTGCAGTTTCTTGACTGATATGGTGCACCTGGTTGCAACTTATACACAAAACTGAACTGTTCTGAACTGTTCCTGGTCTGTTCTGACTGTCTGACACAAACTTTCAGTTGTTTTCTGGGGTTCTTGCACAAAACAAAGTGACCTAGTCACCACAATACTATTCAAGTTGAGTCTATGACTCAAAGTTCTTAACACAACCCTTACTATTTGCTTGGTAGCATTTCAGGGAAGGTCAGAAACCTGCCTTCCCTATTCCTGTATTGATATTTATACTTTCTGGATCCTAGTGTCTGACTAACACTGTGATCTACTGATTAATAGGCTTGCTGGCCTGACCCAGTAGGCTAAACCCATCTTCTGGCCAATATGAGCTCATACATGGTGGCTTGGCAGATATGAGCTCATTCACAGTTAGCCTGATCAATCAACTGGACTCTGCCCAGCCCTTGCCAGCATGCCAATCACATGGGTCCCCTGGATCTGGGAACCTCTCCTGCTAAATTGCAAGGTTCACTAGTACTCTGGCTTCTACTGGATACTGAGATGATGCCCTTCAAGGGAATTGTTCCCTTGCCAGGTAATTACTTGCTCATTATCTCTTACTATGGCATAAAGTAACTAACCCAGTAGAAAAGAATAAATATATTCAACTTTCTGCCTGGTACAGTTGCCCAGCACATCAACCCCTATGATGTTTGTGACAGTAACGATATTGCATACTCCATCCGAGTCGTATCTACCACAAATGTAGTTGGACCTGCAAGTAGTTTGGTTCCATATGCCTCTGTTCATCGCAACCTAGAATTATTATACTGTACAGTCTGTGTCTACTTCGACGAGGTTGCCTGTCCTGCGCTTGTCCCCCCGGAAATTCCGTGGAGGAACGATGCTGTATGAGGTTAGGGAGTGTCTCCACAAATCATATGAATGGGTATCACTCTATAAACTCTCTCCATCTTGGTCATTTCCTCTCCGTATTTCTAACAAAAATTGATAATATTCATATTGAGTTCCTGGAGCGTCATGGGTATGGCACATTGCTGTGTTCGTGGCAGACAGACAAGGTCCGGGGGAAGGTTGGACCTGAGATGGGGTGGATAACTGTGGTATCGGCTCCGTCATACCTTCTGGGAGGCGATAAATCATGCTAATGTTCACCTGGAAGGCACGAATAAGCTCTTGCAAGTATGGATCGTCGGGCCGCAGAGATACACTGTTACTAAGAGGACCTTGTGACGAACATTATGCCAAGGTCAGAACAGACGCTGACGACTCGCCTTCAAACATAGGACCGGGCTTGGGGTGGATAAAACCAGGAAAGCGGGCAGAATACGGCAAGAGAGAAAAGTTGAATAGGAGGCCCGGCTCCCGGGCCGACGAAATATGTAGTCTCAATAAGGACCAGTGGAACCGAGCATTTCAGTCACGGTCTGTCACAACGTTACGCGTTTTCTGAACTGCAAACATGAAATCAGAGGGCGACGCGACAAGCCCGCCAGTCACCCAGACGCCCGCAACGACGTACACCCAATGGACCACACCCCGTTCGTGCACTGCAGAAAACGGCCTGTCCATTCCAATTGACTGGTCCGTGACCTAGACATTCCCATTGATCCTGCTCTGCAAGCACAAACGACGCAGGCGCAGCAGTAAATTCTTTCTTCTTTTCTCGTTTCTTCTTCTGACGAATTTCTTCTAGGGCACAATCACCGTACCAACATTATTCCCCGTACTCACACTATCAATATGCGGCTCATTATCCTTCCTATGCTGCTGCTGCTGCTCCGCAAGCATCTCAACCAGCAACGACGACGGTTCCACGTCCAGTAACTGCCGCGGCAGCACCAACGACTCAGTCGACCAATGGCGGGGGAGGGATGGATACCGCCGATATAGCTACGTTGAATGACGCCTTGGGCAGCGCCGGTGTAGATCTCAGAGTGTGTGACACTTATTTTCTCGGACTACTATCATTCTCATTACTTTTTTCCCACAAGGCAGAAGAAGAATCCCTACAGCGGTCGCACGAGCAACATCTCACCTACCGTTCATACGAAGACCGGACACGGAAACAACCCATCACGCCTTCATTCGACACTCGATATCTCGGCGCCACGATGCGCACCGTTGGCACCCAGCACAAAGTCACGCGAATACCTGATGATTCTGTCAACTACCTCGCTCTGGCTCTCCGTGCACGACTTCAAGGTCTCGTCGAACAAATGGTCGCAGCCGCCAACCACCGCACAGACACCCAATTCGATCGACCCGCATCATTGTACGAGGATGGGTCGCCCATGTGGAGCATCCTCGTCCGAAGTGACGTCGGGAAGCAGCTCGCCGCGCTAGAAAGGGTGGAGCGGGAAGAGGAGACGAAGGTGCGGCGGGAGCGAAAGGAGCGTGCGGATATGGCTGCTGCACATGCTGTTGCTCTTGCTGCACAGGCAGCTGGCGGTCCTAGCGCGGTAGTGGAGTCGGTTTATGATGATGCCGACGGCGGGGCGAAGAAGAGGAGGAAAAAGGACGGTCCGGGGGTCACCGCTCGCAACATGTCGGAGGACGTGCGCAAAAAGATGTCGAACGCTGTGGCTAGTCAAGCTGCCGGCATTGGGGGTAAATACTCTTGGATGACTGCGGCTAATGCTAGTGCGCCTGCTCCACGGCCTAAAGCTGCTGCCGCCGCTGCTTCCCCAAGCCCGGCTGGGGCGAGCACTCCGGGGGGAGCTAATGCGCAAAGTTCGTGGTCGAGGCCGTACGTGCCTACGAAAAAGCCACCGACGCCGCAGCAGTCTGTAGTTGAGGATGATACGCGGACGACGATAACTCTAAGAGATGCAATGTTTGTGATAGAGAAGGAACGTGGTCATGGCGGTGGAAGGGGCGCAGCAAGGGGGTGGACGTAGGTTTTCTTCGCGTACTGGTATTGGTCACGGTATTGGGGTCTAGGTTGTAATCACACCTTTCGTCGTATACTCTTCATGAGGTACGCGGCCAAAGAGAAAAAGACAGTGACATCTTTCGCAGAGAAAGGTAGTGTTTAAAGGTACAGAATCAAAGACATGGAAAATATCAAAACCGTCCTAACAAAACAGAACTGCGATCGCAAAACCTGTAACTTATCTAATCATAGGGAGCGGGGAAGTCATCATTGGAGTTGGCCCGCACCACGATCGGTTACTGAGCCCTTGGGATCTTCATCCTGGATAATCGACGCGACATTTAGAGACGGGAGTCGTAAGGACATGCCTCGATAGCAAAGCAATATGAGGATTTAGTCAACAGAATTTTGGCATTTCAATACTCGTTAATGTTCTCCTTTGAATACCTTGTTTTGCGGCGCACGATGGACGGATAGACGGATAGATGAACGCGCAGAAATTTACGAGGACTTGCGGCCGGTTGAGAAGTCGGTCCCAACTTGGAGGGCAGGAATCGTTGGCCACCAACTTGAACTTTCCCACCATTCAAGCCTGAGTTATCCCCGGTTTTTCTTTGTCTGTGCAATCGTTAGCTACGGCTGTCAGACTTGCGAGTCGGATGCAAGTTTACAAGAATGCGATATCTATTTAGGGCTTGGAATGAAAAGCGGACCCGAGCCCACAATGGTATCTATAAGTAGCTCTAGGGCTGCAGGCCTTATATCCTCCGATAAGTGCCTCTCTGCAGGCTAAGGCTTATCCCGTGATATTCGGCAAGCGCCTGTTACAGATGACAATTGAGAAGGCGGATGTAATTGATCCACTGTCGTCAACCGAGGTGTGGACTGGCCCGAGTCTATTATAAACACAGTCCAACAGCTGTGGAAGGGCGACAATCACATGCAAGCTCATATATCGCATGTAATTTTGGTCCTTACAGGCAATTAGCCACTGGTGGGATCTCAGAGCGTGTTAACATCCCCAGGCCTTGAATTACTAAAAGTCCCGCTCGCAACACGTCGAGGACACGCATCAAAAGATGTCCAATGCCAAGCTGCTAGCATGGGGGTCCAATACTCTTGGATGACGGCCACTAATGTGCCTGCTCCGCTGCCACCGCTTCTCAGAACCCAGTTGGGGGCGAGCGCTCCGGGGGGAACTGTTCGTGGTCGAGACCGTGTGTGCCCATGAAAAAAAAAGCCACCGACGCTACAACAGTCTGTAGCTGAGGACGACGATCACTCTGAGAGATGTGATGCTTGTGATAGCGAAGGAATGTAGGCATGGCAGCGGAAGAGGCATAGCTAGGGGATGGACATAGGTTTTCTTCATGTACTAGTATTGACAGAGTCCGAGGAGACAAATGCGGATGCTTTACGCTTCAAAAGACTCTTCCCTTTAGCATTCGACTTGGGCGGCGGGCCGGGAGGTGAGCCGGATTGGTGAGAGATGTCGCCGACGACGCTCTATTATAGCTTAGAATTACCGACGCGTCTGGACTTGTGCGGCAGGCAGAGTGCGAAAAAAGCTATCGTTGGATGTGCTGGCCGCGAGAGGATATAGAATGATGCAATGCCGACAGTTATGGCCGGGTCTATGACACAGACGAAAGGAACAGAAGACACAAGGAGAGTGCTCAGTGAGGAAGGGTGCATGAAAATAAGCAGGGGCACGATGAAGGCAGATGGAACGATAGTGGTATTAGAGAGTGAGGATGTCTGCACCTGATCCTGTAACAAGAATCATATGTTCAGCCTGGGCACTGCGCGCGCAATTCTGCCATAAATGAGAACATGAATAGCCTGTAAAGAGGGTCGCTCACTTTTGTACTAGTCGTCCATCCGTCTGGAAAAACCCATCCCTTAGGATCTTTACCCTGGATAATCGACGGCTGCAATGTACTAGTCAGTGCGATATTCAGAGACGGGAATCGTAAGAGCATGCCTCAATAGTAAAGCAATGACCTGGTTTCATAATCCCGGGTTCTTCGTTATCTGTGCAATCGTTAGCTACAGCAGCCAGATATTATGACAGTACTCGCAAGAATGCAATATCCAGGGCTTGGCATGAAAAGCGGTCCCGATCCCATGACCAGTGAATTGCTGTGATACACAGAAATCCATACCAAGCTGGGATCTATTGTCGGCTAGATAGTGGTGGATCGCTTGTCCTATGGCCTTGAATGGCTTTCCAGGTCCGCATGCGGCGATTCCTGCCTTCAGAGCATTGGATGTAACCGCACAGAGAACACGGCCTTCTGGGTCCTAATGAAAATAGATGAGAACATAACATCGAAACCAAGTCTGCACCCACTACATCTCCGACCAAGAAGGTTTCTGAGGTGTCGCCATGATATCCGTCTAAAAATATTGTGATGTCGATGTTGATGATGTCTCCGTCTTCAAGAGGACGGCTAGAAGTGAATGAGAAACCGGCGGAATTTGTAGAACGGAAAGAACCGACTCGTCTGGTATTCCATGCGCGATAACATTGTTTATGCTGTCAAAAATCAGTACGATGTGGTCAATAGAGCATGGCAGGTACCTGGTACAACAAGATTTTGGGAATCCTTTGTAGCGCAGTGGAGATGGATAGGCCCCGCGGGCAACGATATATTCATGAACCGCGGCATCAATGGCATTGGTAGTCACTCCGACCTGGACGACCATCACCTCTCTGACACCAAAAGAAGATATATATCCCCAACGTACTTTTACGAGAGAACCAGCAAAGTCCCGAACTCTGCTCGCTAGTGCCCCGGCGCGTCTAACGCGTGCCTCTTCTTCGCCGCCCAGCTCGATGATGCTGTCGCCTGTCGGTGCAACGTCGTGGCCACTACTACCGATGTAGGGCGGAACGCGAATTGAAGGCGGAACCGGTCTGGGTGCTATATGTGATACACCAAATACGAAAGGCTCCTCCGGGAGGATGACGCTGTATGTCCCAAAATCGCACACTTCTTCTCCATCTGCTGCGTGTGAAAATAGACGTGGAGTCGGGCATACATGACGGAATGGCCGAGTAGTTAAAGTTCTGCCAAAAGCTGAACACGATCGTCGAAACATACACAAAGTACGGTTTGGTCCAAACCTTCGTTGCCAAATAAGCGACTAAAAATGGGCAAGTTTAGTTTTGGAATTTCAAATTTGACCCTCGATCTGGATCCATCGTAATATTACTGGTCCTATTTTTATTCGAGATACGGGGAACAAATCTGGCCAGTACTTGTCGAGCTAGTGTGTCGTCGGGCCCTGCACAATTAATTCATTAATTGATCCAACTGATATCGCTAGTGCCTGCGCATGTGGTAAGAAAGTGACACGCATTTATTCTTAGGACCTAATAGTATACACAGTTAGCCTCACACAGCGTAGCGATAGGCGGAGACGCGGTGAGGGTGCTAGATGGTTTGCATTCAGGACATATAGTCCATCCCAACAAAAAGAGGTATCGAGCTCGGCTGGCGGAATAAGACGGAGCTCTTGCTTCTTAAGGTATTGCCGAGGCCGGAGGCTAATCAAAAGATGTGTGTGCAATCTATACTCCTGCTTTATTGCTGCATCCCGGAGCTAAATCAGTCATATGTCTCCTTCTGTTCATCAAACGATAACATCAGGCATTTGGATCACAGTTTAGTCTGCATCGTGACAGGGAACCTACGAGTCGAACATACTTATCTGGCCGTTTAGTACCCCATCCTATGGCTTCACGCTGTCACCGTATAATGCGGTCATACCGATGTCTAACCGTGCCGCGGGGAGCTTGATGAGCACCGTATTGACGGGCGTCGACGACGGCCCGTGGGTGCGGTATACAGGTCGGCTGCATCTCCATGGCAAGAATCTATTCTTCAAAGAGAACGGTAACACCAAATTGTATCAGCAAACAAGTTATGTTCGTTTATGATACTAAGCGCATACGGCCGTATGCACAGCCGCAACGAACGCATTCATACAGTCCCTATGACGTCGACGGATTGGATCTGGCGGCCGTATACCACGCCACGAAGCCCTACGGGCATCTTCATGTAAGTACTAGTCTGCATGAAGCTCGGAGTCGGCCAAGTCTCCGACTGGGTCTCGCCTGCCCTTTAAGAGGCTTCGCTTTAAATCCTGAACGTCCCACCACTTTCAAGTTCTCACCCCCAACATGATCAGACTCATTTCTGCAAGCATTCTCAGTGTGGTAGGCCTCGCCGAGCTCACCATTTCGCAATCCACAGAAATTAACCAAGCGTTAATAGGTGAACCACTTGTATTTCCACAGGTCTGAACCGACGAGGCCAGTACCGACATTGCTGTTTCTGGCACTCGAGCCTTTGCTACTGTTCTACTTTAATGGAAAACCCTGGTCTGTTAACTCCCTACTCATCATCTACGTTGTCTTCTTTGTCTCGCTGGGTCTGTCCATCTGCCTGTATCGGCTGTCTCCTTTCCACCCTCTGGCTAGGATTCCCAGCCCAATTCTCTACAAGGTCACGAAGCTGTACGGCGCATGGATATGCTGGAAAGGCTATCAACACCTTGATTGGAAGGACCTTCATGACGAGTAC